AAAGAAAGAAAGAAAGAAAGAAAGAAAGAAAGAAAGAAAGAAAGAGAGGGAGGGAGGGAGGGAGGGAGGGAGGAAAAAAGGAAGAAAGAAAGAAAGAAAGAAAGAAAAAAAGAAAGAAAGAGAAGATGGAGAGAGGGAGGGAGGAAGAAAGAGGAAGGAAGGAAGGAAGGAAGGAAAGAGAAAGGGAGGAAGGAAGGAAGGAAGAAAGGAAAGAAAGAAAGAAAGAAAGAAAGAAAGAAAGAAAGAAAAAAAGAAAGAAAGAGAAGAGAGATGGAGAGAGGGAGGGAGGAAGAAAGAGGAAGGAAGGAAGGAAGGAAGGAAAGAGAAAGGGAGGAAGGAAGGAAGGAAGAAAGGAAAGAAAGAAAGAAAGAAAGAAAGAAAGAAAGAAAGAAAGAAAGAAAGAAAGAAGAACCAGTTTTAAGCCAGTGTTTCTCAACCTTGGCAACTTTAAGATGGCTGCACTTCAACTCCCAGAATCCCCCAGCCAAGATAAAGTCATGTTCCCTGGGTATAAGACAGCATTTGAAGAAATAATCCTGCTCAGGACGAGCCAAGGAAAACAGAAAATGCTGACACGGCTCACAACATTCACCCCAGTTGCTCCTTCCCACAGGACGGAGGTGGCTGAGTTACGTCTGCTTGGTCTTCGACACAAAAGAGGAAACCGAGGAGAACCGCTGTAACCAGACCCAGAAACCAGCGAGCCGTCTAGAAGTCTGCAACCCGGAGCCGTGTCCCCCAAGGTGAGGGCTCTGCGGCCTTTCCCCACTTATGCAGGCAGTCCTCCAGTTACGACTGTAATGGAACCTGCCTGCCGTGGTCGTAAGTTGGGACAGTTGTAAATCAGATCCCCCACACAACCAACTGGATTTTGCGACCTTTTGTTTTTTTTACGGAGGTCGTTAAGCCAATGCTGTGGCCGTTAAGCGGAATAATAATTTTCACACACACACACACAAACCCTTGCAACTGTCACAATTGCACTATAATTATTTTGTGTAATTGTGATAGTTGCAGCGTCCGTTTGCGTGTGTGTGTGTGATGTGTGATCGCCGTTTATGACCTTCCGAGTTGGCTTCCAACAAGAATCTTCAACAAGAAACAATAGATTTTCTTAACGAGGATGTGATTTACTTAACCACTGCAAAGGATTCACTTAACCACCGTGGGGAAAAAGTCCGTAAAATCAGGCGCCTCTTAAGGAACAGACTCCTCGTTTAGCAACGGGACGTCTGATCCCCGATTGCCCTACGTCGGGGACCACCTGTGCTTCATCGTTCCTGGCCTGGACCTCGAGTCCTTGGAAAGTGGCCCCTGAACAGCAGCCGAAATGGGAATATGTAGAAGCGTGTGGCTCCTTCCCACAACCGTCTCCTGTCCTTCTCCTTTCCACTCAGGTGGTTTTACAAGCAAGGTTCGTGTAGCGTTACCTGCGGCGAAGGCGTTATGCGCAAGGCCTTGTACTGCGCGCGAGAGACCGGGGAGGAAGAGGAGGAAGAGGAAGACATATTGCCCGACGCGGCCTGTGAGGGCTCCCCGCGCCCCAAAGAACTGGAAGCATGCCACCTGCACCCTTGCCCCCCCAGGTGACCGGCTTTGTGCTTGTACATTGGGAGGCTTGCAAGCCCATCTTCCGTTCTCTTGGCCATCCGAGTGATGAGAATGAGTTTGCCCAAAGAATGCGCTACCAGCACAAAACAAACAAACAGACATCCGGGCAATTTTGACCCGAGATGGTTTGAATTTTCTTGCAATTGTTTTTTTTTTTTTTTTGGCAAGCCCAGCGGTACTTTTTCCTGGATGAAAACATGCAGTGGGGAGGGGTTAGATAGAGGGTGAATCAAAGTTATCCGGATTCAGGAATTGGGAAAATCCTTTTAGCTATGGCAACTTTCATCATTCCAAGGAAGGGAGGGAGGATTAAGCGAGAAAAAAATATGGAAGATTGCAAAAGGAAGAGAGAGATGAGAGTGAATCACAGACGGAATGATGGAAGGACGGAAGGAGGAAGGAAAAAGAGATGAAGGAAGGAAGGAAAGAAGGAAGGAAGGACTAAGAGGAAAAAAGGATAGAAGACTGAAAGAGGAAGAGAAAGAGGAGAGTGAATTATAGAATGATGGAAGGAGGAAAGGAAGGGAGGGAAGGAAGGATTAAGAGAAAAGAAGACTGAAAGAGAAAGAGAATAGAGAATGATAGAGTGATTGAAGGAGGAAAGGAAGGATGGAAGGGAGGGAAAAAGGAAGGATTAAGAGAAAAAAAAGATAGAAGACTGAAAGAGAAAGAGAATAGAGAATTATAGAATGATTGAAGGAGGAAAGGAAGGATTGAAGGAGGAAAGGAAGGATGGAAGGGAGGGAAGGATTAAGAGAGAAAAAAGATAGAAGACTGAAAGAGAAAGATAATAGAGAATTACAGAATGAATAAAGGGAACAAAGGAAGGATTAAGAGAGAGAATGGAAGGATAGATAACAGACAGACAAGAGCCACTGACTTGCCTGCCCCTTCATCACGGCTATCTTCTCTCTTCTACCGAAAGCTGGAGAGTGACCGAGCATGGACCCTGCTCCTCTTCGTGTGGGCTTGGAGTGGCCACCCAATCCGTGGCTTGCCTGCAGCTTTCCGGAGGCCGAGACGTGGCCGTGGCCGAGGGCCAGTGTCCAGAAGCAGAAAAGCCCCCCTCTGTCGTGCCTTGCCTTCTCCGCGTCTGTCCGTACGAATGGGGCTTCACCAAATGGACGGAGGTAGTAGCCCTCTTTGCACAGCATAGAATTAGTCCTCAGCTTACAACAGGTGAGTGACTGGCCGTAAGCTGAGGAATGACTGTGTCTTGTCTCCTTCCAGTGCTCTGTCTCGTGTGGAACCGGCATCCAGAAGCGACAGGATTTCTGCATCAACCCCCAAACCAAGACACGGGTGAATCCTCTCCTGTGCATGCTTGTTCCTAAGCCCATGATGGTGAGAACGTGCTCCGTCACGCCCTGCTTCCAAGTGACCACGGTGAAGGAAGACCTTCGGCCTGATGTCCCCGCGGCCACCCAGCCTCCAGGGGCAGAGATCCTGACCACCCCCGAGGTTCCTCTTCCTCTCAAAGGACCGCAGGACCAGAACCTGGATCTCCCATGGTCCAAAGGAGAAGATCCTCAGAAGAAAGAAGCCAAGGCTAAACCCTGGGGAGATATCTCAGACGAACCCAGTTAGGTAGCATTGCTGGTCATTGAGAGGGCTTTAACCAGGGGCAGGATGGGTCCTGGGGAAACGGGATTGGGTTTGGTGGAAAGGCCAGCAAAATGCAACCTATCTCAGCACCACTGAGGTCAACCAGGAAGGTCTACAACCCGTAGAGTTAAGTCAAGTTCATCCTGATCGTCATGGTTTGACGATAGGATATTAGTGATAGGACAATTTCAGGAAATCCATGAAAAACCACCTTATTGCCAAGAAATCAAGGTCAACTCAACGGCGAAGTGATCCAGAGGCAAGCCTCAGCAAGGGAAAAAAAAGTCCCCTTGTTTTTCAGACTTTTGGGGTCACCTAAACCCAAAATTTACAGGTTTTTTTGGGGGGGGAGTTGGCTCCTTTGCAGAAATTTAGCTGCAGATGAGTTGGTGGAGATAATTCAAGATCTCTGCATAAACGACTAGAATATAAGATGAGGGCAAACCCCACTCTCTAGTAGCACTGATGACATTACCTAGTTGGGTCGTGAAACGTCTGCAAGAAAGCGACCCAGCTCAGAGAGCACCAAGGACCCCATAATCCTCCTCCTCTTCCTCCTTCTCCTCCTCCCTACTCTACTCCCTTCTAGCCCTGATGATGTTACCTTGTTGGGCCACGAAACGTCTGCAAGAAAACCACCCAGCTCAGAGAGCCCCCAGGACCCCACCAGTTCGACCCTTAAGTTCCACCCCACAGTTCAATTTCCAAGGTGTGTGACTCACCTGTTCCCAATCTCTTGTGTCTTCTTCTCCTCCTCTGCCTTTTTCATCCAGGTATCTGTGGAAGGCAATGGCTGAGCCCCAGTGGATTAATCAACATGACGGGGGTACAAGCCAGGATCTGCACGGTCGCCATAGGCCGGCCTTTAGGGGAGACCATCACCGTCCAGGTGTTGCAGAGTTCCTTGAACTGCAGCGCAGGTGAGCATTTGCAGGTTGGGGCTGATGCTCACCCAGGAAGCTTCAAATCCGTTTTATCCACCTCTTTTTCTTATTTGCCTCTCTTGCTGAAAAAATAACAGGATTCGCCCTCAGCTTCCAGTTCTCCTGCTTACTGATTTACCTTTTATTTGTTTATATATCAAGTTTACAGCCTGCCCATCGCAGTCCCACCCAGAGCGACTCTTGTCTAATCCGGGTCAACCGATAAGTGTCAGGGGGTTAGTTGCGTATGGGTGTGCGTGCAAATTTGCGGTGCTAATTTTTTTTAACCTAGTGTCAACGCTGCTAACATCGGATGTGCTTGCTTTGACAGTATATAAGATGCAGCCCTTTTCTCTTTAACCTGTGTGTTACTTTTAGAGTTAGAATTAGATGATCCTGGGGGGGGGGGGAGAATGTGTATTGGGATTAGTTAGACATAACATCCCAGTAGAGTATTCTTCAAGGTTGTTTGAAATAAGAGATGATAAGAAATGGCGGGTTAGAGAACTGGAGGGAAGGTCTGCATTTCAAACTAATTGGAGAATGTGATTTATGACGGTTAATTGGAGGAGGGAATTGTGCTTTGATACTACGTGCTCAGGGGAGGGGAATTCAGATTTTGGCTTCGACCATGTACGTGCCGATGCCATGCTACTTGAATAAAGATTCTTTAAGGTAAACAATGCCTCAAAGTTCTTTGAAGAGTATCATCTGTCGGAACCATGACACCTACTTTAGTACTCCAAGCAATAGGCTGGGGTTTTTGATTTGCTCAAATAGGAGCCTAAAATGACACTAAATGGGAACCCCTCATTTGCCAAATCACACGCAAAAAATCAATAAATCAAAATTGTTTTGCCAGGTTACATAGCTACAGTTGTGGGTTTCTCATTTGTGTTTGAGGCAACAAGCCAGCTGGATTTGAAACACTACTTTTGGACTCCAGGTTTAAGGGGTTGTGTGATCTCCACAGCTGTTCCCAGCCAGTCCAGAGTAGTCCTCAATTTACAACAGTTCGTTTAGTGACTTAACAAACCTCTCACTTAAGAACAGAAATTTTGAGCTCAATTGTGGCCTACTTACCTGTAGTGAGATTTATGAAGGATACAGAAGGACCCATTCAGCATCCTTATTTTATTTTTTTTGATCCAGGAGAAATATTACTGTTTTCAACCCGGACCATGTGGCGGATGGCTTGTAAGAAGCTGAAACTGTTGATGGTCAACACCCAAACCAACACACTGATAGTGAGGCAACGTCGGCTGTTGTTGGGCAGTGGCGTTGTGCTGCGCTACACCAGCAGACTGGCGGAGAAGAAATACCACCAAGGTGTGTAAAT